TGTCCGGGCAGTGCCCTCTGTCTGCTCTGTGTCAGGGGCTCACGGTTGTGCCCAGGCAGTGCCCACTGTCTGCTCCGTGTCAGGGGCTCACAGCTGTGCCCAGGCAGTGCCCTCTGTCTGCTCTGTGTCAGGGGCTCACAGCTGTGTCCGGGCAGTGCCCTCTGTCTGCTCTGTGTCAGGGGCTCACAGCTGTGCCCGGGCAGTGCCCACTGTCTATCCTATGTCAGGGGCTCACCACTGTGCCCGGGCAGTGCCCTGGAACACATCCTGCCCCCCGGTGGTCCTGAGGGGCTGGGACCCTTCCTCTGAGGCAGATCTGAGCGCTGACAGGTCCCTTTGCTCGTAGATGTACGCACCGCAGGAGACTGGCTGTATAAACGAGGGGGACCTGTCGTGTATTCTGAAGACGGCCTTGGGCGTGGCGGAGCTTTCTGTGACTGACCTCTTCAGAGCCATCGATGAGGACAAGAAGGGTCAAATCTCCTTTGGTGAGCAGTTGCACAGTGGCATTATGTCCAGAGGGTCCGGGGCAGGAGGTGGGGAGACGTTCAGGTGTCCCCACTGGGCGGCTCCCTGGGCTCTGTGTCAATGAACCGTAGCACGGAAACGCTCCTCCGAGCATGTTCTATGGGAAGTTTGCCGCGATGGCTCAGGAGGTCCCAAGTGTCATGGTTCCCAGTAGTTAATAAAATCCAGCTCCACCGTCCTGAAACTCAGAGCCCGCCATAGATGCTGTGTACACTCAGGGCCGCTGTCAGCCTGCCTCTGGTGGATAGGGGGGGCTATGGTCACTCCCATTTCTGGAGTGCCTGACCAGGCCAGCAGTCACAAGAAAGTCAGGACTTTGTGTCCACATGGACACTTTGCAAAGCCACCCCGAGTGGTGGCTCTCTCTCATTCGCCCCCACCTGCCCTCTCCCACTCCCCCAAGTCCACACTTGGGCATCTCTGCGCTTCCATCCCCTTCTCTTTCTCCATGGGCCTGGGGCCCCGCCCTTGACTGTCTTTGCTAAGTGAGAAAACACCACTTGCTCCCTGGGAGAGGGGTCCAATGGCCCACGGGGCCGAATGTGGTTCTGAGGAAAGCCTCTGTAAGGAGCGCCCCACAGATGCCCAGGAACGAGGGTCAGGGCCTTCTATAGGAACACCCAGGAGCCCGGTCAGCCCAGCCCTGCCACGGCTCACATGCCATAACGTGTGCAGGCAGTCTGCTCTCCTGGTCCAAGAATCTCTGCAGTGGGCTGAGTTTGTGTCTTGTTAGGATGGGTTCTTAAAGTTGTGTCTGGTTTCCAGACACTGTGTGTATGTGTAGTGTGCACTGTGCATGTGAGGTGTGTGTATCTGATGCATGTCTGTATAACACACGTGTGGTGTGCCTGTGTGTCTGTTAGGTGTCGTTCACTGGGATTGTGTTTACATGGTAGTTTATGTGTGTGGAGTTGTCTGTGTGTGTATATGTTGTATGTCTGATTGTTTATGTTATATGTGCCTGTGTTATGGGTATATGACATGTGGTGTGTGTCTGTGTGGGGAGTGGAGGTCTGCTAGTATGGGGTTTGCTTTATGTGTGTGGTGTGTAATTGTGTGTGGTGTAATTGTGTATTGTGTGTGTATGGTGTGGGATGTAATTGTGTGGCATGTGTATGTGGTGTGGGGTGTAATTGTGTGGTGTGTGTATATAGTGTGGGGTGTAATTGTGTGACGTGTGTATGTGGTGTAGGGTGTAACTGTGGCATTTGTGTGTGGTGTGTAGTGTAATTGTGTGTGGTGTGTGTGTGCATGTCACCATCGTTGGATAAACGCTGACCACACCTACCTGCAGACTGTCCAGCAAGGACTGTTCCAAGGTTTCCCACAAGGTGTCGCTGGTCCTCACTGTTTCCAGGCCACTTGAAATCTGTAATCGGCTACATCAGCCCCTCCCCAGACCCCCGTGCTGCACAAAACCTGGCCACAGCGCCCTCACTCGGGCCCCATCAGACACAGCAGGCAAACACAGACATCAGGCTGGGCATCTGAGTCCCATGATTGCAGGGGCTCCTGCACCAAAGATGGCAGGCTGCAGGCTCACAAACCCAGAGCCAGAGGTCAGAGGTTGATGTGGCCGGCCGATGCAGGATCCAGAGAGGGGAGCTTTTCCACAGTGCCCATATATATTGGATGCAGGTCACACACACAAGGAAACTCCCCTCTCACCTGATTGGAGGGTGATTACATACTATCTGCCTAACCACTGAGTTTCATGGCCTGACCAAGTAGTCCCATAACCTGAGCCATACTGATTGAACCTCCCTCACAGAGTTTTAGATTCTGAGCACGTTTTCTCAAGACCAAGTCCTCCCATTAACAGTACTTTGCATCCATATTAGGGTCCCTGGTGGTGCAGTGGTTTAGTACTGTGCTGATAGCTGAGAGGTCAGGGGTTTGAACCTACCAGCCACTACACAGGAGAAAGATAGGGCAGTCTGTTTCAGTACAGACCGCCCTGCCGCTGAGTGGGCTCTGACTCATAACAACCCTTTGTGAGAGAGTAGAACTGTCCCACCCCTCCCAGGGGTTCTGAGACTGTAGCCTTTAGGGAAAGGAGTGCTGGTGGCAGCCCTGTGGGGTTAGGTGTTGGACTGTTAATGCAAGGTCAGACGTTCAAACCCACCAGCTGCTCCATGGGAGAAGGATGAGGTTACCCACCCCTGTAAAGATTTACAGGCTCAGAAACCCTATACAGGGTCACAATGGATCCAAACTGGGGGTTTGGTTTTTGTTTTATCTTTAGGGAAGCAGAACACCCCATCTTTCTCTCATGGAGCAGCTGGTGGATTCAAACCACCAACCCAGTTGGTTCCCAGCCCAACACTTAACCACTGCACCACCAAGATTCCTCTATAAAAACGACAGCCTTGCAAACCCTAGGGAGCAGTCCTAGTCTGTAGTGTAGGATCGCTGTGAGTCAGTATGAAGTAAACAGATACATGTAGTCATGAAATCAAAAGTCCTACATTTTCTAGAGGTTTCTCCCAAACTGGGAACACCTGCCCGTTGGTTTTCACAACAATTTTGTGCTAAGAGCAGGGATAGCCCGAGGGTGGCAGCCGGGGCAGGTGGAAGCTCCCATTCCCAATGGTAACCACCCGTGGTGCCTTTGTGTCTCCCAGCTGACTTCACCAGATTCGCAGATACCTACCCCGACTTTGCAGAGGAGTATCTGTATCCGGACCAGACAAATTTCGAAAGCTGCTCCCAGACTCCGTCAGCACCAACCCCCAATGGCCTGTGTACTGACTTCAGCCCCGAAAGCACTGACCCCGGGGGGGCACCACTCCATCGGAAGCTGGACTAGGATGGAAGGTTCCAGAGACGAGCCCTCCACGGGGCTGCGGCTCCTCATTTGCGCGAGGACACTGGTGTTCTCTGCCCCCACGTGTCCAATGCCCCGCCGTCTGTCTTACTGTTTCTCTGTGGAGTGTCTGGGTTTAAGGGGGCTTTGTCCTGTGCGCTGTGCGTATCTGACAGGAAAGCCCCACATGTTCACGCCCACTGCCTGCTCTCTGCCCACGGGATGCCTGTGGGTGGGGCATTCCGTTGAGGACAGTTACTGTGCCACCAGGCATTGCTTCATCTTTACCTCAAGTGGCCTGGTTTCCCATTGTCCTCACCATGTTTTCTAATGGCCTGCCTTGCCCGTTCGTTGGCACGCTGGGAGGGCAGGGGCCTGACACACACTGCCGCCACCTTGAGTCCAACACAAACTGCCGGCCACACGTGGACAGAGGCGCTGTCTGATTTTTAAACGTTTCTTATATCCATGTGGAAACTCATGTGTATTTTATAAACTTCATTTCGATACTTCAGGAAACATTCAGCGTTGCTTTTGTTTTTTGGGTTTTTTTTTAAGAGAGAGAGAATGGCTTTTCTACTTCATCGTTCCTGTCAGGGTCTGAAGAGTTTTTGATAGACTCCCAGGCTGTTTGGGGCTTTGCCTGAAATTGTCCCCAGGTTTCTCGTGACCAGGTAAATTCCTCTCCTCCTCCAGGGGGAAGGTTGGCCATAAGGACCTGACCTCCACATCCTGTCTCTGCTCTCCCCATCCTTGTCAAGCCCCCTTTTTATAAAGATTCTAGTTCACTGTTGCTTAAAGCTCCAGTCCGAGTGCTGAGTGTGGCTGAGAGGTGAGGCTGCAGGGCTCAAGCACGAAGCCATCACTGATTTCTCTGAGCGCTGTCCAGCCATGGTGGGCAGTGGCCTCTTTCTGCTTCTGGGCTCCAGTTTCTATGGCGATGTTGAGTTCCTGGGGTTGTGCCGACCACTAACCCCCTCGGTTGTTAACCAGAAGGTTGGAGGTTCAGGTTCACCCAGAGGCTCCTCGGAAGAAAGTCCTGGCAGTAAGTTTCTGAACAATCAGCCCTGTGGATAGCACAGTTCTACTCTGGCACGCAGGGGGTCACCGTGAGTCGGAATTGACCTGATGGCAGCTGTTTTATGTTTTTTTTTTCTGATTCCAGCTAGCTGCTGTTCCATGGAGATGGATGAGCTGGTCTGTACCGAGCAGGTGGGGTCGGGCGGGGTCCTCATGTGAAGTCATCATTTCACCCAGAGCGCTGCCTCCACTGGTCACGGTGGTCAGGGAAGGGAATGAGATGGTGTTGCTGTGGTGGATGACCATACCAGCCCCCTGCAAGTCCCAGAATTGCTGGGGGAACAGGGCGATGTGGTACCCCACTCAACTTGGTGGTCACCCAGTGGTGTCAAGTGTCCTTGAGAAGGGGTCTTCTTAAAGCACAACCATAATTAAAGACATTAGTTGGTTTCCTAAAACAACACTTCCGGGTTTGCTTGGGGGGAAAACGATTTTCTGCATTTGTAAGATAAATTGAAATTGCTCTTTGAGGCATCAGAGTGGGCATTCGGGGCCAGTTAAGTATAGGAAAACATTGGTTACTGACCTCTTTGAGATACTGATACCAAACAAGATTGGAAGTGAAAAGAACAAGCAAACGTTTATCATGAATCCTGCCAGGGTCCTCCTACTTGTCGTTGATGTAACACTCTCAGCCACGGGGGTCAGAGGGGACATCAGGGCTCTGGGGTTGTTGGACGCAGAAGTTATTGGAGCCCACTGCCTCACTCCTTACAGAGCACATGTACAGTCTGTTGCTAAGAGAAAAGCCTGCACCAGCCCATGAAGGAGGTGAATAAACGAAGATATTCGGGGACAAGGGCACCCAACGGGGGCCTCCATTCCCCGGGTCTGCACATGAAGGGTTGTTTTGAATGATGTGCCTCTTACGGGCATTTTCAGGAAAAATAAAAACCTGAAAAGCAGACTTTTTAATGGATGTTTATTCCTCCTGATTGTCTTTTCCGCTTACGCTGTAACTTTGCGCCCGCAGCATTCAGAACTGTGAATGTATATAGTCTCCCAGTCAAAATCCCTTTTCGTGTGTGTGAGTTGGGAATAGCAGCCTGGCTGGGGCTGGGGTCCCCGGGAAGACCGTTGGATCTGATTCTCAATGGAATAAATAAAACATACAATCTTACAGACTCGAGATGTATTTTGTTGTATGTGGGGTTTCTTTTTCATTAAGAAAGGCAGATATTTCTTAGCCTGTGAGCTGACACACCAACATGAAACCTCTCTTCATGCTTTTCTACCGTGTTCTGGAAACACGGTCATTGAAATTCTGTAGAGAGCGCTCTGTAGATCATAAAGGGGAGCTCTGTGGTGTGGTGTCTCGATGGTACGTGGACACTAGCAAACATTTCACCAAGCCCAAGCGCAATGGCTGTTTGCCTACGGAGTGAGTGGCATTCACGTAATCCCTCTATATTAAATGCATACAGCTTAAATACATTTCGTTAAGGAAGGAGCAAAGTGGATGTACTTTTCTGTTAAATCAGTGAAGGATTTAGAAGTAGAACCGAAAGAAATAGAGCAATTGTATTCCGCCCCCCCCCAAAAAAAATAAATTATATGAAACGCCAAGGTGAGACGTAGCTACAAGCTTCAAAGGTCAAGTAATAATGGTAATGTTCACCAAAAATAAAAATAAAAATGCGGACTACCAACCAGTGAGTCTGAGGCCTGACTGCGGTTTAGCAAGAGACCAAATACGTACCACATCTCATTGTTTCAAGTAGCAGAACTTTTGTTCTATGTGCTTTCATGCATTTGCCATTTTTAGTATAAGGAATACACATTGCCCTTGAAATTAGTTAATAAAAAACAAAACCTATTGCCAGCAAGTGGATTCCAACTGATATTGACCCACCCTGTAGGACAGACTGGAATCACCCCATAGTTTCCAATCCTGTGCTCTTTACTGAAGCAAACAGCCTTGTCTTTCTCCCAAAGAGGACCTGATGCGTTAGCCACTGAGCAGCTAACCGCTGTGTCCCCAGGGATCCTTGAAACTGATTAAATATGTTGAAGTTCTTTTTTTTTTATGTAAGTAAAGAAAAGGGATGAAATGCATTTTGCAAGGATGAGTCAAAAATTAATCAACTTTTAGATTGCCCTATAGGGTCATGATCAGAATTGACCCCAATGACACACAACAACAACCGTTGTAGCTTTGCCAATGAAGGCTGAGAGATCATTGTCCCTATTCTCCAGTCTCAACTTCGAAAGCACACATCATCTATACGGTGTTTTTCCTCGTATTGCACTTGAGTGTTTGAAATGCTGTTATATCCTTCCTTGGCTTTAGCTATTTTTAAATCGAGTCTTTTCTCTCCTGAAGGTGGAACAAAAAATTTCCCCTGCATGTACAGCTATGACATCTTCCACCCCAGACTGTGAGGTCTCTCTTCACAGACAGCCACCCATATATAGAGTTGTTAAGTGTTGTAGAGTTGTTCTGACTCATAGTGACCCCGTATAGGGTTATCCCGTTTAGGGTTTCCAAGAGAAAAAAAAATCAACTTGTAGGAAATAACATTGTTTTTCTACATAATTTCCGTGCATTTCAATACACTTTGTCCATATGTCAACCTTTCCTATTCCCTTACTAAAAAATGTTTTCTGCTGAGCTGTGAGTCATGAATGCACTTCTGTCTTCACTTCATCATCAGAGGTGAATCTTCATCCTTGAAGGGCTGCTCTTGGGGCCACACAGGTCAAAGTCCCATGGAGCAAGATTAGGACTATAGGAAGGATGCTTTTAACACCTCCAAACTAAGATTTTGCAGAGTGTCAACAGTGTGGGCAGAGGTGTGTGGACGTGCATTATCATGTAGGATCACAATCCCCTTGGATAGTGGTGGTGGTTATGTGCTGTGAAGTCAGTTCTGACTCATAGCGACCCTGTACAGGGTTTCCGAGGCTGGAAATCTTTACTGGGGCAGAAAGCCTCATCTTTCTCCCACAGAACGGCTGTTTGTTTAGAACTGCTGACCTTGCGGTTCACAGCCCGATCCGTAAGTAACCATTACACTATCTAGCTGCATTTAATCTGAAGTTTAGACTTCAGCTCTTCAGTGAGCATCTCACTGTAATGAACACTGTTGATTGTTGAACCTTTTACCTTACAGTGTTCCAATACTGGCCCTTAAGATGCCCAGAAAATGGTAAACATCAATTTTCCCGCTGATGGTTGACGTTTGAACTTCTTCTTGGTCAGCAGTTGAGGATGTTTCCATTCCATACTGTGCCGTTCACTTTCAGGCTTGTAGTGATGAATCCATGTCTCGTCACCAGTAACAATTTTTGTAAACAAACATTCACCTTCAAGTATCAGACCAAATTTTGTTTGCAGATGTCCAGATGCTGTTTGTGCTCTTCCGCGAGTTGGTTCAGGACCCATCTCGCGCAAACTTTCCGAAACCTAAGTCTGTCATGGATTATTTCATAGGCAGCGCCATGCCTGATTTGCAAATGCTTTGCCATCTATTCCATTGTCAGACTCATCTTACATGCACGCTCAATGTTGTCATCAGCCGTGGACAGGCATTTTAATATAAACTGGACTGCGGCTAATTTTTGACTCAGCCTCGTACACTTAGCGCTTGACTGGGGGGCAGTTTATTACTAGGAATCAAAAAGAGGCGGCATCAGTTGCAGTAAAACTAAAGGCCAACTAAATGCTGACTCCGGCAGCTGGGCCTGGACACAGTGGAAATGGGGTGCATGGTAGGGTGATCAGTATGGTTTGGGGTGCACGTTCTTTACTGGACGGGCATGTGGCAGGAAGTTCTGACATTCAGTGTATTGAGGTTTAGATCTGCAAAATGAGCTGGATTTCTGCTTTTTGTTTTCAGCAATGCATTGGTTTAGATTTTGTTTCAACATAGGTTTCTTTCTCACTACTTTTGGGGGAGGGGGGCACGTATAGCTCTGCTCAG